TAGGGGGAGGGGGCACAGGGGGCAAGTGCACCCCGGCAAAAAAAATAAAAAATTAGTACTCACCATTGGTTGCCTGTAAAAGAACGTATAATTTCAAAAATCCTTCTTTTAGTTCATCAAATCATGAACAGAACAGCTCCTGAATACAACCAGTCTTTATACCAGGTCCCCTAGTTAATATGCATAATAGCATACACCTGCCTTTAATAGCAGTTACGCTAAAACATACACCCGCAAATTATTATTCATTAAAATATGAGGATGTTAACTATTATCTAGATCTATTAGGAATAAATCATTCCATAAATTGGGGTAAAAAAATTATTTCACCTTTATGACTAACAGTGTATATAGATTCGCATTTCGATAGGAAGTGATACCGGTATATCATTGAATCCAGGTCTCTTATTATTTACACTTGGCTGGTTAATGAATCTCTTATACAAAATAAACAACTAGGGTCAATCTTGAGGGATGGGGGGGGGGGGTGACAAACCTTCCCATGAAATTTTAGCTATAACATTTTAGATGTATTGTGAAGATGCCTTTATTTTTTATTTATGTGAAGATTCCTTAGAGCTAAAATACTGGACCAAATTTTCGATTGCAATGTACTTTATGAATAATCGCTTCTCACAAGTTACTCTAAAATTGTTCTAGGAGAGGGGGGTCACAGAAGGGGAAGGGTGCAAATTCTGAAACCTATCACCCTAACTTCATGATTCAGACTGAAAATTATGACTATCACCTGGACCAGAACTCATGGAATGGGTAGGGTAAATTTTGACCAACGCTATGTACTTAAAGGTAATGCAAAATTGTTTCCTTAAAAAAAAGGTTTCTGAGTGTCTTTGTTCAGTTTGCTTGTTTGTTTCGTTATGTTATGGCATTGGAGTGCACATTATATTTTGTCAAGTTTGAAAAGTTATGCGCTAATCTGCAACTGTTGACCAGGTGGTGAGATAAAAGAGCGCATTAAATTTCAGGATTTAGAATTCTTACATCAGAATTGGTATCACAGCAAAAAGTCCGGTGTCCCTTTTAATGATTTCTCATCAATTGTTAAATGTGTAATGAGTAGAACAAGCGAACACAAACTTGTGTAATTTCATCCTTTTTCCAACTGCAAAAATACAGAAAACACGCCAAATATTAGCCAACTTATAGTTAGGCCCCCCAAAAAATCATTTGGTTGTCCTCGACCGCCCGCTCGTCATTTTCGGGCGGCTCGCATTTTTTTTTTTTTCTTAATATTTTTTTATTTTATTCATTTATTTATTTATTTATTTATTTTTTTTGGGGGGGGGGGGGGGGAGCAATCTTAAATGCCAAACATACCATTTTATGCATTTGCAAGGATCAAAATGCGTCCCGTTGCCAGTTTTGTCTTTTCAGTACGCAATTAGGTATTTATTAAACTTGCCATTTTTATTTTTTTTATGTCAAAATGCCGTTCATTCAAATCAGGTTCTGAGCATTCTTAAACTCATTTTAAAGCCAATCTGTACTAGTTTACAGGAAGGATTAGACCACCCTTCAAGGTCACTGGGCAGATGGTTATCTCATCAAATCAGCTCTCAGTTAGTATAAGATAAAGAGGATCATGGGGGACCAATGGTCACCGATTAGGCATTGTTTGCTACATAGAGGGCGCAAGTAGCTATAAGTAGTACAATGGAGATTTAAAAGGTGCTGTATTTCAAAGCCCAAAATACTTTCTGTGTTGGTCTTGATATTCAGTGTACATTAAACTAGTCTTTTACCATATTAAAGTGTTTTATAGACTGTGTTTGTTTAAATGCTTGACAATCCCAATGATTTTTTTTTTTTTTATGGAAAAACAAAAAACAAACACAAAAAAAAACACAAAAAAAAAACACTAAAAATGAAGTAAAAAAAAAAAAAAATAATAATAATTTAAAAAAAATCCGCCCGCCCGCTCCTACTCCAGAAAAGCAATCGAGGACAACCAAACAATTTTTTTTTTGGCCTTATCGAAGGTTGTATATCATGGATTAAATAAAGGGGCATGACACGCACAAATTAGCGCGCATTATCCTAAAATATAGAGTTTTTGTCAGGATCTAATTTTTCTTTTACCAACTCTGGCACACAAATTATAGGAAGAGCGGAGTACTAAATTGAAAAAATTGCTTGATGCACTATTCCCATTACATTCCCCAAATAAAGTTTATAATTTACACTGAAATTTTGCCGGTAATTTGATATTTTGTAATAAATGTGAAACTGGTGCATTGCCTCCGAAATTCCCCGCAGTGGAAGCGCGGTTCGGAGCATGGAATTTCAAAGCCAAGTGGAATGTTACACAATTCATTGTTACGCCTTAGAACTCATGAATGCGTTTGAATAAATTACAAGAGTTATTACTCCTTTCTTTCACCTCCCTGCTTATATTATGTCACCTTGTGGCCGGCGTTATTTTGTAACATTTATTCTTTGATCACCTATATGACAAGTCATGGAATGCATGTATCGATCGTTTATGAAAATGATTATATGAACCATGTGGTAGGGTTAATAGAAAGAAGGAAGAAAAAAAAAAGGGGGGGGGGGCTCTATAAGCTAACTTTATTAGTTTTTGAATTTTGGCATAGATATCCCCTCCCCCTCAAAAAAGAGACACATTATAATCTCTGTAGGCTATAATTATATACGATCTATATTAAGAAGCCGCAATAGACCCTAAAAGCATGCATAAATAATGTCTTGATGGTATACACGTGATACAACATTTCTCTTTTGTCTCTCCCTTCAGTTTCTTCTTTCTCTCCTCATTTTTTTCAAGGGGAGAGGGCGTTTAAGTTTGTTTAGGGAATGGAGCTGTAGCCCCAAAGCCTCAACCGTATGCATGCTGGAGAGGGGGTTTACCTTTTTAGTAAACAGTTATCCTCCCCTCTCTCTTCTTCTTCTCTCTGCCCTCTCTTTCCCTTTCTTACCCATTTCACTTAGGATATCCAAGTATGTTTGATCTCGACAGCTGGTTTCTACTCCCACGTTCTCGCTCCCTCTCTCCCTCTCTCCCTCTCCTTTCTTCAACGACTCACTATTCATTTTCATTATTATAAGTAGGATTATATACTTATTATTGTAATCGTTCCTGTTTTCCTTTAAATATTTGTTTATAAACATACATTATTTTCATTTGCGACTCCAAGATAAAGATTCCAAAAATATGACGTCAAGAAGACTCATGATAATAGATAAAAAACAGGTAGTTTATATTCAATTCATTAAAAATTAATCAATATTGCATGAAAATAACCAGTATCTAATCACAAATTAAGTTCTTCCATCGTTATGAATAACTCTCCCAACAAAAAAATGAATACAATCATCAAGTGAATTTCATCAAATAATTAAACATAATCTCCCATTAAAATTGCATTGAATTAGTGGTTTATATGAAAACCACACACACCCACACTGGCAATCTGGTCTAGAGGACTTAGAGGAATAATAATTTCAAATTATTGTAAATTTTACTCTAAAACACAAAACTGAAGACCATTCAATGACTATAACCGCAAATGATTAACTCTCAAAATATTGTTTTACAACTGTTTCGCCAAACATGATTATCAAGAGTTAACCTCAACACATTTTAAAACTATAAATCCTAAAGAAAAAATATAACCTAACAAATAACATAGTACTATCCAAATCATCTCAAATTACTGATTACTTAAAACTGAATGCATATTAATTCAACACAACTCATCATTCAAAAACAATACCAAAGTTATAAACTAACAACAGAATACATCTTTAAAAAATTACTAATTATCTAAATAAATATCAAACTTGACAAAAGGGTAATCTTCTAATGTAACCCCAAAGCCTGCCGAGACTTCTACCTCTCTGTCTGCCCCTTGAATGGGGAGCAGTGCAGGAGTGAATATGGCTAATACCTCTGCCCCCTTAAAAAAACGGTTATACTCTCTATTGGAAGAGGCTGACCCTTGACTAAGTGACCAGTATGTACGTCATAAAATATTTCATACCTGTGGGATGTCATGTATAGGCTAAAATGAAGTGTGTTATAGTTTGTTAATATGTGTGAATCATACTTCTTAGAAGTACGAAGTTTGTAACAGATTAACTCCTTTGGTTCTTCCTGTTTACTTCCTGACGAGTGATTGATTATTTATTGACAACAACAGATAGATATTGAATTGGTCTTTTCACCATAAAACAGTCCAATTTTGACTTCTTACACAAGCAAGAATAAAATATGTGGGAGGTAAAGGGCATATTTAACTGAGTCATTTACCGTTGCTCCAGACGTTGGTGCAGTATTCTGAAACGAGGTTGTTCTATGTCTAGGAATATGGATGCGTCTTACAGACCTTTTAACAAAATTAAAGGAATATATAGGCTAATTAAATCATACATGTTTATGTTGTTTGTTCAACAACAAAAAAGACAAAAGGAATACACATTCATAATATCACAAATGATGAGTGAGCTGTTTAAATAAATGTATATATTTATACATACTAGTTTTATCTAAAAAGGTTAATGCTCTCTCAGTGAAAACGTTCCTCTGAGAGGCCCTGTACAATAATACAAAGATCACATAAAAAAGGAGAATTTAACAGACTTTACATAATAAAACAACTAAACATAACGATAACGGTATATATGCAATGGTAATTTCTGTGTGATATATCTGTTTCTTTAGTAATCTACAATGTATTAAAAACATGATCTCATCATCATCATCTCTAAACCAACCAAATTAAATTATGTAAAAGACATTCATGAGAGATTTACCGGACACAAAAGAGATGAAAAGAACACTGTTCTGTAAATGCAATGTCTTTGAGATACGATTAATTCTATTTTTAAGAAAAAATCCTAACGAGATTTTGGTATAATGTAAAGCAGAAATATTGATAAGCTGAATTGAACAGTATTGTCAGGTATCAAAACTCCAAAAACCTATTTCTCCTTTTTTTTTTTTTTTTTTTTTTTTTTTTTTATCTTTTTGACTTTTTCTGAGGTCGCGCCTGTCGAGAAGCAGTTTTCTTCGGTTTTGAGGTGGTCCCCTTCGGTTTTGAGGTGGTCCGCTTCGGTTTTGAGGTGGTCCCCTTCGGTTTTGAGGTGGTCCCCTTCGATTTTGAGGGAGTCCCCTTCGGTTTTGAGGTGGTCCCCTTCGATTTTGAGGGAGTCCCCTTCGGTTTTGAGGTGGTCCCCTTCGGTTTTGAGGTGGTCCCCTTCGGTTTTGAGGTGGTCCCCTTCGGTTTCGAGGTGGTCTCCTTCGGTGTTGAGGTGGTCCTCTTCGGTTTTGAGGTGGTCCCCTTCGGTTTTGAGGTGGTCCCCTTCGGTTTTGAGGTGGTCCCCTTCGATTTTGAGGGAGTCCCCTTCGGTTTTGAGGTGGTCCCCTTCGGTTTTGAGGTGGTCCCCTTCGGTTTTGAGGTGGTCCCCTTCGGTTTCGAGGTGGTCTCCTTCGGTGTTGAGGTGGTCCTCTTCGGTTTTGAGGTGGTCCCCTTCGGTTTTGAGGTGGTCCCCTTCGGTTTTGAGGTGGTCCCCTTCGATTTTGAGGGAGTCCCCTTCGGTTTTGAGGTGGTCCCCTTCGGTTTTGAGGTGGTCCCCTTCGGTTTTGAGGTGGTCCCCTTCGGTTTCGAGGTGGTCTCCTTCGGTGTTGAGGTGGTCCTCTTCGGTTTTGAGGTGGTCCCCTTCGGTTTTGAGGTGGTCCCCTTCGGTTTTGAGGTGGTCCCCTTCGATTTTGAGGGAGTCCCCTTCGGTTTTGAGGTGGTCCCCTTCGGTTTTGAGGTGGTCCCCTTCGGTTTTGAGGTGGTCCCCTTCGGTTTCGAGGTGGTCTCCTTCGGTGTTGAGGTGGTCCCCTTCGGTTTTGAGGTGGTCCCCTTCGGTTTTGAGGTGGTCCCCTTCGGTTTTGAGGTGGTCCCTTTCAATGTAGATGCTATTGATGCCGTCACCTTTGCTCGTTTCGGAGCTGGACCAGCAATGGTGTTAGCTTGTCGTTTTGGAGCTGCTTGGAAAGGAATGTAAACCGGCCAATCCGGAGAGGCTCGATTCACGTTGGTTGTGATATGATGATGATGCACAGCTGGTGCTGATGGGGCGCTTCAAAAGAAAAAAAACGAAGGGAAAAAACAGAATGCATCAAGGGTATGAAAAATATTGGCATTACTTACAGTAATTAGGCTGTAAAATCCGTTTGAAACTTGTAGTAAGATATAGCTATAATACTCTGAATGCCTCTATAGAAAACCTTTGCTTTCAGAAAACCTCTCTGTTTGAAATAAACATAACGTGAATGGAAGCATTCTTAGTGAAAGCTGACATTATATATTTGTTTTAATTAAGTACATGATTGTAATGAGGTCTATACCTGTTGTAATTGTTTGTCTGTTGACCAATCACATTGTTCCCTGACACATTACTGGCCCCTGAAGCATTAATGGTGTTAGTGCCGCCAGTCTGAGTCAGTGTACGCGGTTGCTCTATTGTTGACAAAAGTGTTAGAAAATCAGAAACATTCATATTTTTTTATTGTATCATATTAAACTTTAAATTTTAACTTAAAATCTTTAAGGCGAATTTGATACTTCAATCCCAAGTAAAATCGGTTCCTTGGAGATTAAGTCAAGATGTGCGAATCATCTGTTAACAAACTTCGTGTTTATTAGGTACTACTATACATTATATATATATTATTTAGATTTAACTAAATTACTGACTTCAAAACAAGTATTTGCTAAGCTCCTTCATTAGATTCCACATTTTCTTCATGAAAGTCATTTACAGGGTGAATTGAATGAACTGAATTTAATTGGAAAAAAATGATATACATGTTTTTATAAACCTTAAATCACGATATCAAAATTTCTATGCATATCTAATTTTCTGTGAAAATGATATATAAATCAATTTAAAGGGGTCATGAACAGTAAAATCGTGGAGAAACGACTGTGGGTAAGCGCTGCTGGTTTGTCAAAGTCTATATATTTTGTAAAATGGGCGCAAATAAAAAATGAATACAAATCTTGATTAAGAATAAGATACTAAATGATAAATGCTTGGCTTGAAACGGTCTAACTGACTCATAAAAATGACAATTATAAAACCACAAAGATATGAATATATCAATTTTAAGAGCAGTTATTATTTAATTTACACTTCTGATTTGAACTAATACCTTGTGTGGTTGACACCAAAGTTCTTGCTGAAAATTAGTCTACACCTAGATATTATTGCAAGAGCTTAATTAATTTAACTGAATAACTGAATTCAGAACAAATATTTGTCTAATCACCTTCATCAGATTCGTCCTCTTCTTCTTCTTCAGATTCGTCCTCTTCTTCATCAGATTCGTCTACAGGGTGAATTGAATTGAAAAGAAAGTGATAAAGCTTTAATCACGATATCAGATGTCCTATGCAGTATACATATCTAATTTTCTGTGAAAATTACGATAAATCAATTCAAAGTGCGCCATGAACAGTGAAATCGTGGAGAACCGAGTGTAGGTAAGCCCTGTAGGTTTGTTAATGTGCATATATTTTGTAAAATGGGCGCAAAACAAAGTTGAATAAAAACCTTGATTAAAATACTAAATGATAATGCTTGACTTGAAACGTTCTAACTGACTGATAAAAATGGCAATTTTAAAATCATAAAGATATGAATATATTTACGTACAGTTATTATTCCATTTTACACTTGTGATTTGAGATAATACATACGGTTGTTGATATTAAAGTTGGTGGTGAAAATGAGTCTACACCTAGATATTATTGGAAGAGATTAATTAATTTAACTTGATAACTGAATTCAGAACAAAATATTTGCCTAATCACCTTCATCAGATTCGTCCTCTTCTTCTTCAGATTCGTCCGCTTCTTCATCAGATTCGTCTACAGGGAGAAATTGAATGAATTGAATTAAAAGGAAATTGATATTTGTATCAAGTTTTAATCACGGTATCAAATGTCATGTGTATATCTATTTTTTTTTTAATGACGACAAAATAATTTTGAAGTGCGTCATGAACAGTGCAATCGTGGAGAACTAATTGTAGGTAAGCCCTGCAGGTCTGTTAATGTCCATATACTTTGTACAATGGGTGCAAAACAAAAACGAATACAAATTTTGAATAAGATAGGAAATCTCACCCAAATACACAACTACTTCAAAAGAAAGCAGACAAATCATAGAAGCAAACTAATGAAAGTTTCAATTAAATCTGACTAAATATAAGAAGGTTATACATTTTGGAAAGTTGGAATCACTACAAGTATATGGGCACTTCAAATTGGCTGAAGCGGTAATGTCAATGTGATGTAGCCGTGCCGGACTACTCTCCCATCTGTTCCAACATAATTACTAATTTTACATTTTTCAAAAAATTCATTGCTCAGGAGGTCTATTATTTTTAGAGGACTTATGATGATATGCTATCTATAAGTAGTGACCCAAGGGAGAAAGAACTTACGAGAAAAAGAAAAAAATTAATGATATTTTTGTACACGGCAAATAGGAGAGTTATCCACGTGATAGGCCTACGTCAAAATCGTAGAGATATATATCTCTATGGTCAAAATACACTGACCGCACTACCAATTTGAGATTCGCATAGACTAAGACAGTGATCTCATACTTAAAACATTCATAACTTCCTTACTATTGGTCCGATCATTTCAAACTTTTGCCGTTCTGTTCCTCTTATTTTTTTGCTTGCATACAAATCAACTTAATACCAAGGTTGGATTGTCCTTTAATGATAAATGCTTGGCTTGAAACATTTTAACTGACTCCTATAAATTACAATTTTGAAATCATAAAGATAGGGATACATTTACGGAGCAGTTATCATTTCATTTCACTTGTGATTTGAAATTATAATTAAAACAAATAAAAAATGAAAATATATGATATACCTCCTTTTATCATTAAAAAATGTTAATATATATACAGAGGGTTTCAAATTAATGATCGGACAGAACACCCGTGCTGTTGGAGTTACAATTTCAACGTTTTTGTAGGGTAAAACCATTACCGATTTACCATCATGATAATCAATTTATTTTTTTCGGAAATTTACGCAAAAACATCACATCGTCAGGAATCATAATAACATTTTCGTAATTTTCATGGTATTTTTGACACAGAATGACGAGCCTTACGAATTTGTTTCTTTCTCAATCTATTTCATTTCAGAGAGGAACAAAATCAATGCATCTTTCTTTTCTTTTTTACCTGAGAGTATTCCAGTTTGACTTCTGCCAGCTTGCCCCGAGTCCGTTGACGCTTCGCCTGCATACAAATGAAATATGTGATTGAGTATAGTCCAAAGATATAATCATGATAATTCTCAATGCAATATCCCAGAATGTGAATTACAATGTGTATGTTGTAGACTAGACAGAAATAACCATCTGATATGGGTAATTTCTTTAATAAAACTGACATTTGTTGACATTCCCCATATACAATACTAATAATAATAATAATAATAATCGGAGGTCTAGTGGAGCCAGACGTAGTCTCAGTGGAACAACCGACGATATAGAGAGACTGAAGCTTTTGGTCTAGTTGTAGACCTAAATTATATCAGAACCGTGGGTTTTTTTTCTCCTCTTTCCAATTGTTTCCCTGATAGGTTCAATTTAGCATGGTAGAAGTGTTCATATGACTTTTGAAAAAGGGGTCACTCCTCTAACCTTTCAAAGATTTAGTATATCGGTACTTTAAGGTACTATGTCCTATTTGCAGGCCAAAACAAATGGAGAGTTTAAATTCCAACGGCATTTGAAAGATAATACTAATTTAGAACTTCCCTTAAAAAAAGAGGGCTTGAAAATGTCTTTAAGTCAGAAAATAAGACTATTAGTTGTCAAATCGACTTAAGTGCTACCAAGTCAGTAAGTAGTCTGATTTTCTGACCAATTTACCGAATGGTCGTACGTTTTGTGCTGCACAAAGATTCAATCAGTGGGCTATTGATGTAGACAAATCCTTTACAGCTCATTTTATGTATGTTATTACCAAAGAAGAAAAAAAGCCAGTCAGTCACTCAATACTGACAAAAGTGTCTGACAGTGAAGGCTAGCAAGTAAACGGGTTTCCTTGCATAATTTGAATATTAGGATACTGCTAACGTTTAAATTTTACAGATAGGACATACATGACATATTCATAATTCCTGCAAAGTTCTACAGAATTTTAGGTTGGCTGCAAAAGGGACATAGTATCTTTAATACACTAAAATGATAAATGCTTGGCTTGAAACGTTCTAACAGAGCATGAAAAAATGACAATCTAAAAATCGTAAAGATATGAATATAGTTACGAACAGTTATCATTTCATTTACACTTTTGATTTGAAATAAAATCTTAGGTGGCTGATACTATAGTTGGTGCTGAAAATCAGTCTACAGTGAGCATTGACCTCGGATGAAAATAATAGTTAATATGAGTAGTTGCTGAATATTCCTCAAGGTTTTTTTTTGTTTTTTTGAGTAAATAAAGTTGTGTTGTCCTTACATCTTTAGTATTTACATATTTTAATATCAAGATTTACCATTTGCAAAGTGCTCCTTTACTATGGTACATAGTGCACCAGTTTCAGCCTTCTTCAGAGCAGACTCCAGTTTAGCTCTGGTCGCATTTCCTTTGTCTTCCCAAGTATTCAAAACCTCTTTCACGGCTTTCTTATAATCTAAGAGATGCCTTTTCAAAATGCCCTCTGATTGAGCAAACCTAACGTCGAATTGATTGCACAACTGTGTATAATTATTTGACGGATAATTTGTAGCGATCTCATTGTATAGGTCACCAGTATTTTTCAGGATTTTTCCATCTGAAAGAAAAAAGAGAGAAACAAATGTGGTTAAAAATCAATATGCATGTTTTTACAATGTGCTATGAACCATATTTACTGTCACTTTTAGTTGACTATATTCGCATTTATTAAAAAAAAAAAAAAAAAAGTTTTCGGGGTCAAATACCAAAAAAAAATTATGCATACCCCCCCCCCCCCCACTGAGCGAGATATTGGTGGGCGCAATTTTCACATTTTAGGCCCCCCCCCCCCCTATCGGCAAATCCTGGATCCGCCCCTGGTAGAGAATGTATATATAGATTTTGCGTTGGCAAGCCCGATGAGCGCTTATAGACACCATCGAT